AAAGTTTCGTCGGAACGAAGTTACGGGAAGTTAATTAACAAACGGAGAGGTAACAGTATGATGGAAACGTTTTGAACAGTTTGACAATACAGAGATGAAAAGTATGGTTTTAATGAATTCAAGGTTGTTGGACGTATTCGATTTATTGATTACATAAATTTGTTAGATTTCCTTTCAATTTTAACTCTTTAATGTATACCTAATATTTTCTTTGATTGGCCGTACCCTCTGCTGTGAACTGCAGTTTTGCCTATTGAAGGCTCATCAGCACAGCTTGGGCTGGCAAATCAACGAAATACAGTTAGGCCTCTTATAACTCCATTAATTAGCTCTGAGTTTCTATTATATTAGTTATATTTCAATGAATGGGATTAAAACGTAAGCAATAAAACTACCAAACAATTGAACGCATTGAGTTTCTATTGTATTAGTTCTGTTTCAATGAATGAGATTAAAACGTAAACAATAAAACCATCAAACAATTGAACGCATTGAGTTTCTATTGTATTAGTTCTGTTTCAATGAATGATATTAAAACGTAAACAATAAAAATACAAACAATTGAACGCATTGAGTTTCTATTGTATTAGTTCTGTTTCAATAGATGAGAATGAAACTACCAAACAATTGAACGCTTTGAGTTTCTATTGTATTTGTTCTGTTTCAATGGATGAGAATGAAACTACCAAACAATTGATCGCTTTGAGTTTCTATTGTATTTGTTCTGTTTCAATGGATGAGAATGAAACTACCAAACAATTGAACGCTTTGAGTTTCTATTGTATTAGTTCTGTTTCAATGGATGAAAATGAAATGTAAACAATAAAACTACCAAACAATTGAACGCTTTGAGTTTCTGTTGTATTCATTCTGATTTAATATATTAATTAATATAACATCAAATAATATAACAATCAACCATTTTATCTATGTTCTACATACCGTAAGTAAATTCTTCTGAAACTAAACCGGTGCCGTTTCTTCCAACCGCTTGTAATCTTAACAAATACTTGCTATCAGGAGAGACGAGTTCCGGTGCCGGGATGCTAGTGAATGTGTCATTCCCAGAAATAATGTGCACTTTCCAGTCGCTAGAGGACTCTGACGTACTGACCAAGTAGTAGATTTTGTATCCTTTAACCATATATATATATATTGTTAATAATAATTATCAACTATAGCATCAAAATCAGATATAATATTGTTGTAACTGAGTAAACTTGTTCCTATTTTAGTGTTACAACGTAAAATAATTAAAAAAATGATTTAAAACGTTAAGACTACTAAGAAAGAGAACTTATTCAACACACACACACACCACGTGGCTGCTTTTCTAAAATTAAAGCATTTATTAATTACAACACAAACTAAATACCCCCTGGTATCGTGAATTAGCAATAATAAAACTCTTCTGTACACTTTCTTTCAGCTGTATTTTCCACAGTTCGGGGGTGTTTATGACCCTTCGGGAGTATAGTCTCCGTCTCCTACCACAGAACCTCAACTACTAGTAAATAACATAAATACACGTGACGTTAAACTACGCATGTCGTCATACCAACCATTTTTAGTGATTGTATATACTAAGATAATTCATTGAACTAGGAGAAAATAAGTGTATCTGAATGAAAACGTTTACAATGAAAGCGTGTATACTATTCATGTCGTTTTTAATTTTGGATTTTTATGACATTCATATGTCTTGTCGCTCCTTCATCATAATTATATATTTTTCCACATACACACACACACATATATGCATATATTATTTGTATAACGTCAAAAGGCTTATAGGTGATCACTCATTTCTGCACAGCTCTGAAGCCCCCACCCCCAGTGGCTCAGCGGTATGTCTGCGGACTTATAGCGCTAAGAATCGGGTTTCGATACCCGTGGTGGGCACAGCACGAAGAGTCCATCATATAACTTTGTGTTTAACTACAAACAAATATTGGCCTGGTGGTGAAGGTGCTCAACTCGCAATCTGCGGGTCGCTAGTTCGAATCCCTTTCACCAAACATGCTCGCCCTTTCAGCCGTGGGGATGTTATAATATGACGGCCAATCCCACTATTCGTTGTTGAAAGACTACCTCAAGGATTGGCGGTGAGGGTGGGGGTTGGACTAGCTGCCTACTCTCTAGTCTATCATTGCTAAATTAGGGACGGCTAGCGCAGATAGCCCTCGTGTAGCTTTGAAACAAATTCACAACAAACAAACAGTCCTAACGATATAATTACGTAAAAATACAATATTTTTGTTATGGATGTACGCGCCAACAAATACATGACCGTGCAAGCAAAGCTGGAACAAAACAATGTCAAATTGTACCATTTATACAAAAGTGTGAATAGTAATAAAAATTAAAATATCTGTGGCCATGTCACCCTAAAAATGCAGATTCAATAAGGGGTTAGGATCTAGGGGGCTAGAACCCACAACTTCTCAGATTCCGGTTGTGGACATGATAATTATTTCTCATAACATCGACCAATCTCGAATTCAGTCAAAAATGATGTCACTCAATCTCCGCCATTTTTGTTATCATTCTAATAGCACACGATGTTGAATTGTTAGTGCTGTACTAATATACTAAACTACACCCTATAAGAACGCAGGCTAAACGGATAGATCAGGGACCTCTAGGGGTCAGGAGCAGTCGTCCTTAATTTTAAGGAAAACATAACGATTACGTTAATTTTAATAAAATAACAATGTCTCTTCTTATCTTCATTTTTATATTATATTATTTGAAGTACAAAATTACGGAATACGAACGTTAGAATTTATTCTAGAAGAAGAGGTATCTTCACATATCGGACCCATACAGTTGTAGGGGTACAGTGTTTTAGAGACGATTAAGTCACCTACCACATAACTGAAGCCCCCTCAGTGGCACAGCGGACTTACAACGCTAGAAACCGGGTTTCCATACCTGTAGTGGACAGAGCACATATTGTGTAGCTTTGTGCTTGACTTAAAAACAAACATAACTGACATTAAGGGTGTATATTCCAATTTTCTAGAAGTAGTATTTACTAATATACTCGTCTAAGGCGTCATTATGCTACTTAGATACGTTAGGGACTGAAATGGCAACCTTCAAGAAATGAGTTCCATCATTCTCCTGGTGTTCTATTTTTTAGTAAACTGTCATTATCTTACTACAACTGCCTGTAAACGATGAATGATATAGTTTAAATGTGGGATATCCCGGGCTGGACGTCAGTAGTATATCTACTTCTATTTATTTTTATTTTTTAGTCTTACACGCGGTTTTTATTTTATTTTATTCGTGGCAGGTGTTTAGTTTTAAAAGGATTGAAACTTTCCTCCACTAGGGTGTTCAAGAATATGTTCGCCCCGCTCGTGAATATTACGTTTAACTAAAGTGGGCTTTTAAAAACTGTATTGACAAGAGGGTCTCTGATTAATAGCTCGTGAACTGAAGGTATTAATTTTGGAAAGGATTTAATATATCAGTCTTGATTAAATTTTACTGGTAGAACTGGAAAAGACAGAGATGGCGAAGTGAAGGCAAAGATGGCGAAATGACGTCCAAGATTGCAACAATTTTCGACATAGATTAACGGCCCATAATAATTTTCTACACGTGTGTGAGATTTAAGACTAGATGTTAAACCTAAAAGGAAACGTACCCCTTTCTTTAGAGTGGTTGCATACTCTGCAAGATCTCAACAAGGTAAAAATCGAAGCTGATCTAGGAAACGGATGCTTTTCAGAATTCCTAATAGAAAAGTCTATGGAGAAAACAACGGAAGTAAAAAAAAAAAGATTCTGACGAGAAAGAGATATCGGTCAAAGGAGTGGGATAAGCTCAAAAGGCATTCACGAAATAAACATATATTACACTTGATTGTAAATCACTGATGTCAAGAGTAAAGATGGTATGGGTATGGAGCCCCCTGGTAGAGATACCAGTCTCCTCTTCTCGAGGGATCTGTAAGCATAAACAACTATATAATAAAGGCACACTCCCTGAACCAGTGGAAGCAATAGCTTGCCATAAAATAAACGTCATGAATGCAATTTGTGTGTGTGTGAATGCTGCTTCTGCAGACTTGGGTGGTCCATTTCTCTGACTTGGAGTTTCAATTATGTAGACTTCTCGTCTTTATTTCTATAAGTTTCAAGTCATAGTACAACACGAAAATGTGTCTTCTACGAGTACTGAGTTACATACCGACTATTTCATGTTTGTAATTAACAGGCGGATCCCAACGGAGGTCTAGAGTATAGGGTAAAACTCTGGACTCGGTGACAACCAGGTTTCCTGGCGCAGGCACTGGAACTGGGAAAAAACAAAACAAAATAAAAACTAAACATGTGGAAAAAAGCTCTTTATTGATCTGAATACTTTAGAGTAAACTAGTTCATTAGCTTTCATAGTTTTAAAAGGAACCCATGACTTACCAATAACTCTAAAATACAACTTCAAATTGATCAAAAAACTGTTTTATTGTGATAACATTTTATCCTTACAAATGATCGCATCAAACTAAAACTGTTTTAATCTACCATTTGAAGCTGTATTTTAGAAGCAGTGTATCAACCAATACTTTCCAGATGAGCCAGCGGTAAGTTTAGGGACTTACGATGCTAAAATCCAGGTTTGATTTCCTGCGGTGGACAGAACACAGATAACCCATTGTGCATCTTTGCACTAAAGAAACAAAAAAGCACTAGGTTGTCTAGTGATAGTAAGTACTTAGAACGTTTCTTTGGTTCTATACTCCCATATGTACTTGTGAGAATGACAAATAACTAAACACTACAATTAAAATAAATTTTCTTATACTTAAGCAGCTTTTTTAACACGAAGAATCACTGCACGCTATGAGATTATATATACAAACTGACGAAAAAAACTAACAGAACGTTATCTCTTATATAAACAATCGGAGGTGTGAACTCCATGTGATCGTGTTTATGAGTGTATATATATACAGCCATATATATATATATATATATACATAAACCAAATTTACTGACATATGCCTCTTTTATTCAACTCCTACCCCACTGTCTCAGCGATAAGTCTGAGGCTTATAATGTTAAATACCAACTTTCGATACCCGCGATGGACAGAACATAAACAGTCCATTGTTTAGATTTTTGTTAAACAATACCCCCCCCCCCAGTGGTACAGCGGCATGTCCGCGGAGTTACAACGCTAGAATCCGGGTTTCGATACCCGTGGTGGACAGAGCATAAACAGTCCACTGTTTAGATTTTTGTTAGACAGTACCCCCCCCCTCCGTGGTTCGCGGAGTTACAACGCTAGAATCCTGGTTTCGATACTCGTGGTGGGCAGAGCACAGATAGTGGGACAGCGGTAAGTGTATGGAATTACAACGCTAAAATCCGGGGTTGGATTCTCCCACCCCCGCAGTGGCACAGCAGATAGGCCCCTTGTGGCTTTGCTCTAAAACAAACAAACAAATTTCTGGTTTCGTTAATGTTTATAGAAATATCATAAAAGTTGGAATCAATCGTTCCCCTCCATTAAAGCATGGTTAAAAGTCTTATACGTGACTGCTTCTCCTGCTGTTTATACATTTCTTTCAATTTTAGCCTCGACACCGGACATCATTCACTCACTCTTTTCGAGAAAACGCCATTTTTCTCACTTCTCTACCTACACTTTTATTTTCTTTTATTTGTCTTGAAACCGGGAAAATTTTTTTACTGAAACTTGATGGAAAATGTATTAGATAAATCGTTTTAATGTTAAATGAGAGTGAAAAGCCCTCAACTCCCCCCTCCTCCCCCAGTGGCTTAACGGTTTGTGGACTTGAGACGCTAAAATCCGTTATTAGCAGGGCAGAGATGGGTCATTTTGTAGACTTGTGTTTAATAAAATTCAAACCAATGAAAGACAATTTTCGAATAATTTATGGGAAAATATTTAATTTTTATCGTTTTCGTTGTTTGGGGGGAGGGGGAGAGAAGAGAATGTGGGGGTGGGATGAGGGGGTAAACAGTTCTTACAGCGAGTACTGTTAATTGATTTATTTTCTCTTTTTTGACATTTTTTCCAAAACAGTATCCAAAAGTACTTGAGAATCTTCCAGCTGTTTAGACACCTGCTTTAAAATCAATATTGTGTGTATAAACTGCCAAAGTTGGTTTTATACACTACTCCAGTAGGAGTAGTGTATAAAACCAACTTTGGCAGTTTAAATATAAACTGCCAAAGTTGGTTTTATACACTACTCCAGTATAAACTGCCAAAGTTGGTTTTATACAGTACTCCAGAATAAACTGCCAAAGTTGGTTTTATACACTACTCCAGTATAAACTGCCAAAGTTGGTTTTATACACTACTCCAGTATAAACTGCCAAAGTTGGTTTTATACACTACTCCATTCGCCAGCTGTTTGTAAAACCTCCGAAGTAAAACAACGGATAAATATGTCAAGGTTGGCTCTTATGGATTCTTCAGATTTCATGTTTTACTCACAGTTTACATTCGGCGATGGCAAGTGAATCATGTAAGAGGCCTAGATGGTAAACATCGTGTGAGAGGTCTGGATGGTAGAATGTACCCATTATAAATAAACGCATACCACGTACTTGAAACGGATACATCGAATAAAACACTTTCCATTTAGGAAAATGTTGATTTTAATAAAACTAATATCTTAACGGTTTTTAGCACCTTGTTCATTTTCAAATGTTTCTGTTCTTGCAGTTACGTCCCCCAGTAAGACAGCGACAAGTTTACGGAGTTATAAATCCGGAGTTTGATTTCCTGTGACGGACGCGGCAGATAGACCATTGTGGCTTTGCTCTAAAAAAAAATCAAGCAACCAAACCTTCGATTACGTAAGTTTGTTAGATTTTACGAGTTTTCAGCCTCTGTATTCTTTTAGTTATAGTTCTGATTAGATAGGCAAAACAGTTGTTAGTTTTTGCTTCAGACCAGGCATGGTTTAATAGTTAGTATGCCCAAACTGTAAATCCGGGGATTTCTGGTTCTTGTTTTGTTGTTGCAAAAATACTCTCCATACTTTGGAGCTTTGGATAGACTACAAAGTTAACAGTTAAAGTCCACTATTTGGTCAGAAAAAAGTAGCCCAAGAGTTGGTAGTAGGTACTGCTAAGTAGCTGTCTTCTCTTTGGTCTATAGGATCAAAATTACGGGTTGCAGACAACCTTTTATGTAGCTTTGCGCAGATTTCCTGAAACAAATTAACAGTTTAGGAAACTGGATAAATAGGAAATGTCAAAGTTTCATATGTAAAAAAAAAGAAGATAAACCAGCCATTGATTGATGAAAAAAACAGAAACGAAAAGCAAGTCAACTCTGTAAAATGTTCTTCTATTACCTTCTCCATAACAACTCAAAATTAGTGTAATTTCTCCGAAATGGACCAAATTGGAAGTAGCTCTTCCATAAGACTCAACTGTGAAGAACTTCACTATGAACCACCTTGGTAGTAACTCCTCCATAAGACTCAACTGTGTAGAACTTCACTATGAACCACCTTGGAGGTAACTGCTCCATAAGACTTAACTGTATAGAACTTCACCATGAACCACCTTGGAAGTAACTCCTCCAAAAGACTTAAATGTGTAGAACTTCATTATGAACCACCTTGGAAGTAACTGCTCCATAAGACTCAACTGTGTAGAACTTCACTTTGAACCACCTTGGAAGTAACCGCTCCATAAAACTTAACTGTGTAGAACTTCACTATGAACCACCTTGGAAGTAACTGCTCCATAAGACTCAATTGTGTAGGACTTCACTATGAACCACCTTGGAAGTAACTCCTCCATAATGGATCAGCTGGGGAAAAAACTGCTCCACAATGGACCCATTGGGAAGTCACATCTCTGTAAGACTCAACTTGGAAGATATTTTGCCACAATTCACAAACAGTAAAATAACTTTTCCACAAAAATCATCTTAGAAGCAGCTTCTCTACAATGGACCAACTAGGAAGGGACTTTTTCACAAGACTGGACTGGAAAGTAATTTCACAACAATAAACCAATTAATAAGCAATATGTTTACAAAACTCAACTGGGGAGTAATTTCTCCACAATGGACCAAATGAGAAAGAATAAAACACCTCGAATGTACCTTTACCCCAAATGGACCAGCTGGGAAGTCATTTCACCACAATGGAAGTAATAGGTAATAACTTATCCAAGACTCAATTGGGAAGTAGATTCTCCACACGACTCAACTAGAGAGTAATTTACCCAAAGTGGACCAAATGGTAAGTAGCATCTCTGCAAGACTCAACTGGGAAGTAGATTCTCCTCACGACTCAACTAGAGAGTAATTTACCCAAAGTGGACCAAATGGTAAGTAGCATCTTTGCAAGACTCAACTGGGAAGTAGATTCTCCTCACGACTCAACTAGAGAGTAATTTACCCAAAGTGGACCAAATGGTAAGTAGCATCTCTGCAAGACTCAACTGGGAAGTAGATTCTCCTCACGACTCAACTAGAGAGTAATTTACCCAAAGTGGACCAAATGGTAAGTAGCATCTCTGCAAGACTCAACTGGGAAGTAGATTCTCCTCACGACTCAACTAGAGAGTAATTTACCCAAAGTGGACCAAATGGTAAGTAGCATCTCTGCAAGACTCAACTGGGAAGTAGATTCTCCTCACGACTCAACTAGAGAGTAATTT